TACGTATGTATGGGGCAAACACAGCCCCATTATTTGCTCACGTGAGGTGATCTGCAAATCGGGCGTTACTTTTGTTGATCAGTGCGTGCGTTACAGTATGTCACGTGTCGGTGAAGTTTTGGTGGCGTTCTAGGGGAAGATTGATTTCTAGACGTAGACTGCGATTCTTCACATATGTCCATTATGTGATGAGTTGCTCCACGATGCCATAACGCAATTGCCTCACGCCCATTTGATGCAACTGCATTATTTGAATTAATTTCTAACGACTTATTTAAATCTGCGTATCTGTTTATCATGCGATAACTTACTCCACGGAATGCTAATGCAGATGCATTATTTGAATTAATTTCAAGTGATTTATTTAAGTCTGCGTATCTGCTCACCATGAAATAAGCTTTTCCGTGGTTTGCTAATGTAAATACATTATTTGGATTAATTTCTAATGATTTATTTAAATCTGCTTGTGATTTTTCGTATCTGTTCATCATGTGATAAGTTGTTCCACGGCCTAATAATGCACTTGCATTATTTGGTTTGATTTCTAATAATTTGGAGTAGCCTTGACTAAAGACTTGCAATTGATTAGATCGTTGTTCTGTAAAAGCAAATAAAATAAGTATTTATTAATAAAACAAAGTAAAATTTATAAGTTTGATTCTATATAATAAAATATGATAGACCTGTTGAATTCATATCTTGAATATAATTATCGTTATTATCTGCATTACTTAGGTCAGATGAAACAAAATCTGAATGGTCGTTATCATCTTGTTTACTATTATAAACTGGAATCATTCGCATATAATTTAATTTTTCACGGATTTCAACTATATTAGGACGTAAATTTGGATCATCGTTCCAAGAATCGCAATAAATATTTATAAAGTCAACCGGAGTTCCGCTAATAGGCGTTTCTCTTTTGCCACTAATTACAAGTAAGGCTATTTCTCTTTGATCAGGTATATTTTTAAAAGGAGGTACACCACTTGATAACTCCCAAAAAAGTACACCGAGACTATAGATATCAGAAGCTTTATCTCGTTTATATACAAATGGGCTTTGGAGATATTGTGGATCGGAAAATGCACATGTTCCTCCATCAATAGATTTTGTACTATTGTCTAGTGATTTAGATAAGCCAAAATCTGTAATCATTAATCTACCGTCATGCACTAATATATTCTTGTCATGCTATAAAGATAATAATAATTTAATGCGCATGTGATAAAAAAAAAAAAAAAAAAAAAAACGAGAAATAACTTGAGCAGAAAAGACATCTTACAAGATCACGATGAATAATATTTGCATTGTGCAAACAATTAATCCCGCTAGAAATATCTTTCGCTATTCTAATCTTAATTGACCAATCTAGTTCTGCGAAATGATCACGTAAATAGCACCGAAGATCATTACTGTTGGCGAATTGAATGACCATGTAGTATGTTTCAGTTTGGGGATCTATTTTGCACGAAATTATTTGTTAATTTATATTTATTCTTATAGGATTTCTTGCACTATATGATCCCTCTGTTAATATGCTTCTTATATGAAATTAATATACCTTGTGTGACTCCAAAGAATCGTATTATATTATCATGATGTGAAACTCTAGTAATGTTTTTTATCTTATAATATATGATGTGATGAAATCAGTAAAAACGTAAATAAAGACGTAAATAAATATATAAATGTTATTATAGAATAATATATAGAATAATATATAGATACTTCTTTGACAAATCTATTCAGTGAAATATCGTTACCATCGCAATATAAACTCTTTAAAGCTATAATTTTTTCAATATCTCTTGAATAAGCACTATATACGATGCCGAAACCTCCTCTACCAATTACTTTCCGATCCTGAAAAGATCCATATTCAAATAATGTAATATATTTGTGTTCAATAGCAATTTTAAACCAATTTGACATCTTTAGTATACGTATCGATATTAATATCAGTTTTTTTGTATTTAAGATAATTAAGTTATGGGCATATAGCATATCCACCAATTTGATTTTTTATAATAAATACTAGTACAAAATCAAGTAAAAACGTGATAATCAAGTACTTGATTAAGCTGAGCGTCTAGTACATAGTGATAGTAACGGTAAATCGGATTTTAAATCTTTTAGTAAATCTAGCAGCAATTCGTTAATCAAGTATGTACGTACGTACGTACTTGATTATCAAGTTTTTACTTGATTTTGTTGAGCACCAATAAATACATAATACTTTTATTTTTTGTAATAATATAGTAATAACTTTTGATATATATTGATCTGTTTTAAATAATTTTATTACCAAAATGTTTGTCATAATGAACCCAAAATCATCCAAATTTAATTAAAGGATCTTGAGATATCTGATTTTCATGTGTCAAATAGCGATGCATCTTCCAATGTGGAACGATTGGTTTGGACAAATCGGCGGAATCGGACCTTTTTTAGACCCTTAAATATTCAAACAAATAGCTTTCGGTTAAATAGGCCATTTGATTAAATGTTATACACTGTTTTAAATTATGTTATTTTATTAGTGATTCCGTAAATCTCCCATATGGGTAATAGACTACGTAGGAAAACCAACTTTCGGCACTGTTTGGCTGATTCTAGGATTTCAATTCAAATTGTTCTTATTTATATAAAGCATATATTTTATTTTTATATTAGCTTAATAAAATATTGAGATTTTTAAATATGAAAAGTCAATTCTTCGAAGACATAGTGCTCTAACAACCAATCGGAAGATAACTTGGTGAATTAAATTCAAACATACGACCTTGTTCGCATAAAAATTTATAACAATGTCTATAAATAAGTTGGATTGAAATTTCGTGTAATGCAAACATTAATCACATTTTTTTAAAACTCAAACTATCTGTCGAAGACTGGTTTCCTTCCTAGTTCAATCCCGATATGAGTCTATGTCTATCCTATGTCTAACCAATCATTCCACAATATAAGGTGTGTCATTATTTGACACGTGAATATCTCATGATTCTATAATTATCTTAGAATTGTCTCGTTATAAAATTATTTAAAATAGACCAATAGATCAAAAGTATTACCGTACAACGCGGACCACGGTACCCCCGTGTAAAGTACCGTAAAACGCCGTATAAGGTACCCGGGTATCTTACAATTCACATGATAAAAATTTGATTTGTACCCCCCGGGTACCTTGTATGGAGGAGGGTATATTATATGGGGGGTATCTTGTGAAAAACATATATTAGCCCATTAGTAAAAAAAGATTTTCATTATTAAATCGATCCTTGATTTATACCCGGGTCTCTTACAAAACACCACAACAAATAACCTTGAAACATACCCGGTACAAATCAAGGGGGGTACAAATCAAGGGGGGTACAAATCAAGGGGGGTACAAATCAAGGGGGGTACAAATCAAGGGGGTACCTTATACGGCGTTTTACGGTAACCCTAACCCTATTAAAAAATTTCATGGTGGAATGTAAAATACCCGGGTGGATATATCCTATGTAAAAAAAGCTTTTCATATGAAAATCGCGGTATTAGTAATAATAATATCCGATCCGTTGGGAATTAATGGAAACGAAGTTTCCGTTTATTCACATACGGTCAGGGTATTATTAATTAATCCTCCCGTGATCTTGATATAGTGATCGGGGGATTATAAATTATTTTATAATGCTAGGGTATTGTGACCAGTGTAACATAAAGATAATGAAATTAGTTATATCTTAAAATTTTAACTAAAAAAACGTCTTTTGTGTTCTAATAAAAGAAATTCCTTGTAAAATTTTAGTATAAACTATATCCTGCTTAACCTTAATCTCAGCTTCAATCTCTAATTAAAGGTTTTATTTTTTGTAAAGACAAGATTGTTTTGACTTACGTGTTACACCAATTTTGTATTTACATATGGGTTAGCACTACAGCACTATAAAAATATTCACTAAAAAAATAAAAAATACGAATCTAATTGTAGCATGATGTTACACGCCTTATTTCTAACATCTGCTTAGTATAGCCCGAACCCTACATTTTTTCTAAAAATTTATAAAAAATCAACCCAGTGGATATGGTAGTACAGTAATATAAATTAGGCACAAACGATAACAACTAAAACGCGAAAAAATAACCAGGTTCTACCATTTAAATTTCCCGTATCTTCTGCTTCCAAAAGTATATCAGGTATCGTGAACCACCATAAAAAATGCAGCACACTGCGGAATGTACACAGCCTTAGACTATCGCGGATCAATTCCGACAAGTTTTAATTTATCTCTTTTCAAATATTTCAAATAATTATGTGAATAGATTTAAAAAAATTGTTTTATGGGCGATATAATATTTACAAAACCCAAAGGAATACACTTATTTAAATCAAAAGACGCACTGGTCTCCAGTAAAATTAATAATACGCAAGAAAATTTTATAAATTTTAAATTACATTTTTTGAAAACGAAACAAGGTTCACTTATTACGTCAAAATAATAGGTTTTAAGTCGCAAAATTTCATCAGATATAAAGCGATTAGTACTTCTAATAATTACATATAACTACAACATTATCAATTAGCTATACATTAAAACAAAATTGGGAATGGGTTAAACCCGGATAGTTATCTATTCTATCAATTATCAATTTAAAAAATTACTTAAATGAGCTCTATATTAAAGAATTCTCCGATGTTAATTTCACTTACCTCAGATCAATTTATTAACTAATTACTGACTGTTTAAATTCATTTAAGTAGAAATCGAATTCTTTAACTGAATGAATTTGAAATTTGGTTGTAAATGTATACATAAAAATTCTATTGCATTTCAATGTACAATACATTCATTTTAAGGACGTTCAATTATAATAAGAGCATCCTCATCATCATCGTCATTGTCATCCAAAACAATTGGATATTCCTTAGTCCCAATACCATTCGACTCGCTAGAAATAGATACTTCCGGAAATTTATGTAAAGTGTCCAAATTATCTGATGCACTCCCTTCAGTTTTAATTATATCAGTGGTCTTTTCTCTCTGGTATTCTTGATTCAAAAAAGTTCCATGAGTATTTTCATCCTCCTTTTTGACATAGTGAGAATCAATACGTTCTTTAGATTGAACATCTGACACCAACTTGCTTGATTGTTGCGGTCGTGTTTGAGAACCTGATGGACCTTTATTTTCTTCATCAGTAGGTGAAATGTAATTTTGAGATTCAGATATCAAAGGCCTTCGTTGAATTATTATTTCATCAGGTTCTTCATGTCGTAAATTTTCCAAAGGTTTTTCTCCATTGACATATGTTGGTCCAAGATCTATGACAGGTTCTAAAAGTGATGACTGTTCTTGATGTTGAGCTTCTAATATATTATCATGAAATGTAGTATATTCAGACGTAAGTTCAATAGTACCGTTGCGGTTTGACGTATGATTAAGATCTTTATGATCTACTTTGTTTTCTTGTGTAGAATCAAACATTACAACGTCTCCTTCGTATACGTTCAGCGAATCTTGCTTAATGTGATCATTTGCAGATGTGGAAGAATTATATATTTTTTGAGAAGGGTCCTGAATAATTATATTGAAATCATCACCCAGAATCTCAGAATTAGAATTTAATATTTGATTAATCGAATCACTTGGACCATAAATTTCTCTCGCCAATGAAAAAATCATTTGACGAAATGTTAATGATTTTTCTTGTGATATAATACGTGAATAAATTTGTTGAAGGTCTGATTGTGCCATTTTTTTAATACTACCAGAATTGAGAGAACAGAGCATTTGATCAAGGTCAATTAATTCGATTTCTTCGTTTGTTCGATCACATTTAGTAGTTGATTTCGATACCATTCTGGGTAAAAAGGAAAACTGAATAAACCTATTGTTAGAAATAATTCAAAATTGTATATACTTTCAAATATGGATATAATGGATATGTATATAACGGAATAGGCTTATAACGGATTTTAAATTTAAAAATTTATTTATATGCATATTAATAAAAAGCTGCAAAAATTTTTATTAGACTCAAAATTCCGTTATATATGTATTTGACAGATATATATATTTGAAAGTTAAAATAAAGTATTAAACGTATAAGATTTAAATCATTACGAAAAATACTTGCAACAAGGAAAATTAATATATACTTTTGCCTTATTCCGGATTTCAACATATATTACATAAGTTCAAAAAAAAAAAAACGGGAAAAAGTTCGGTGATGAGCTCATGTATGTACAGTACGTAGATCTTTTCTGTAGTTGTATATAAATAAATCTATTACGTATCGTTATCGTTGTACTGTACATATCGAAGTATACAGTATTTTTTCATTTTGAAAAATGTCGGATGTTTCGGATCGTAAACTTGTCATATTGACAGGTGCTAATGCTGGGCTCGGGTATCTTAAAAAATATTTAAAAAAACTTTGAAATGATTCACTGTTAAATTTGACTTTTAAATTTATATATTTATATTAGCTTCGAAGTTCTTAAACAACTACTAAGCCAACAAACACCATACCACATAATCTTAGCAGTACGTAACATTCATCAAACCGAAACAAAGATCAAGTCCATTGTTCCTTCACATCATTTAGTGGAAATTCTTAAGCTTGATTTATCCTCATTAACATCCGTAAAATCATTTGCTCAAAGTATTCTATCTCGAAAACCACAACTTCATGTAAACATCTTAATCTTGAATGCTGGTGTTGTAAAGGCCACTCCGACTAAAACAGAAGATGGTTTTGAACAGACATTTCAGGTCAATCATCTTGCGAATGTTATTTTAGTCTATGAATTACTTCCTAGATTGATTGAATCGGGGCCGGATTCAAGAATTATTTTAGTTAATAGTGCGTTACATAAACCCGGCGTTGGAGCGAATTTAGAACATGGAGAAAATCGACCAATAATGGATATTGAAAATTTAGATGGGTCAAAAATGTATTCTCCCTTGTTATTCTATAGAAATTCAAAGTTGGCACAAGTATTTTTTGGATATTATTTGGATAAATTATTGAATAAGAAAGGTGAGAAGGAAAGAAAAGTTGACGTTGTAATAGTTGAACCGGGATTCTGCCCTACAACAGGGTTAGGAAGGGAAAGCGGAATTTTTGCCCAATTATTTCTTAAATATATTATGCCGTGGGCGCCATTTACCAAGACACCCGAACAGGTTTTTATTTCGATTATTTGAGATAATTTATAAACAACTTGATCAAATATTTATCTTATTTTGATGAAGGGTGGAACCATAATCACTTATGCTGCCACTTCGCCAGAACTTAAAAATAAAAGTGGAATTTATATTAATCAATCTTGCCGAATCGATAAATCCAGTGATGAAAGCTATGATGAAGAAAAACAAAAATTCTGGTGGAAAACTAGTTGTGATTTACTTGGAATTGAAGAAGATTGGAGTGGTTTAATTTTCAGTCAAAAAGAAATTCTCGGTTAAATTTGTTTTGTATCAATTTGTTTATTGATTTTTTGAGGTAGGATGTTTCAAAATTGATAAATTTTATCAAATTTACTAATACAAATTCATGAATCGGTTGTGATTTATTGTTTGTCAAATTTTTTGAATGAATGTAATCATCTCGCGAGGGCATACGTAAGTCTCTATCCCAAAATATCTTTTTTCATCGCCTGCTTTTTATCTATAGCTCATATATAGCTTGGCCTTATGTTAAGAAAATTGCAAGATTTTATTTAGTGAAGATAATTCTATTTGTAAAGCGTATAAAATTCAATTACTTATAATAACTTAAAATTTTACTAATAAAAATATTTTTTGGGTTTAAATTCTAATATTTAGATATTTAAATTAAAAATCATTATATTTGTAACTTATTCCTCTTTCTATTATAATCTTAATCAAATCTTATTTTAAATTTTAATACAAACTATGTTTACCAAAACTTTGATCTATTCTAGTTTCTGATTTTATTTTTTGTTTTTAAATTAAAGATGGCAAGTGTTTTAAAACAACCTGTTTTAAAACTTCAAAATTTTTTATTATTAGTATCTTGAATCTGACATTTGACTAACTTGCTAATTGTATACCTTATGATATTTTGTCTGTTTTTATAATTAGAAAAAATCTAATTTGTGTTTGAAACACGGGTCTGTGTAACAGTAAATTAAAATAATTTTTATCAAATAAACAATTAAACAGCAGGTTATAATTTATACTAAAATTTTGCAAAAAATTTTTTCCTTAAAGCCCCAAAGATGGTTTCATATACAAAATTTTGAGATATTAATTAATTTTTTGTTTTTTGTTTTATTTTTATTGCACAAAAAATGATCTACAATATGTATTTAATTGAATATTTTGATTGGTTTTTTTATTTGTTTTGTGTTATTAAGTGTTAATATAGTCAGAGATTTTACCAAATAAACATTCTAAAATGATCTACAAGTGAATTCTTAATGTGTTGGTTCTCATATGGTTTTTCTTTCACAAATGTTGTATAATTTGAAAAAAATTTTCAATAGTTAGTAAAACTAAAAAGGCTCGAATATGTAATTTGAAATGTCTAGTTTTTAATCATTTCAAAAAATCTCTTATAATAATCTTTTTGGCTAAAGTAAATGAAATATTAAAATCAGGTATTTATTTCATTTAGGAAGTTAAAAATTGTTATTAATTAAAACAATCTTAAAAGTTTGTTTTTATATTTAAACAAAGATTTAAAAAGTTATTTATATTTAACTTTCATAGTTTAATTTAGTTGTAACTTTATAGATATCAATATAATTCATGAAAGAAAGTATTTAAGATATTCAAGAAAGATTCAAATTATGAACCAATATATTTAATATAAGTTATGTTTTTAAACAATACGATGTATACAGATAATATTGTTTAATAGTAAAATCTGTAAATCAAATATTATAATTTGTAATTAGTAAAGAAGATATTAATTAAGTAGAATAAAAGTGTTATGTAAAATATTTAAAAGAGGTAAGGCCTTATTAATAGCTTTATTAATAATAAAACTTATTTGCTTTTATATAAGTTTTTAATTAATTTGATTAGTTGATATTTATATACTTTAAATCTAAAAACTTTTGATCAACATCTTTATACTATAAAAAGGTATGATTTTTAATATCAATTTTGATAAAATCTCTAACTATAATATATCTATTGTTTAAATTATATATGTCACCAAAATAGGTTTTTAAAAAACCTTATTTTATCTTTATTAGAACAAATTAGAATTTTTGTATGTAAGAGCAAATCTAATTTAGGTAGTTATGTTTATTTTTTTTTACTTCAGCAATCCTTCTTTTATTTTATAAATTGGCAACAGATTACAAATAGATATCTTAGTTAGCTAAATCTACATTATTCATTATAAACTATTTTATATCTATCCAAATAAAAAATTTCTCGATCAGTTTTATTATTGCAATATAATTTTAGCAAACTAGAATTAAGTGCTAGAGTATGATTCAGAAAAGATCTGCTTAAGTAAATATTTTTATTCACCAGAATCTTCAACTTTCTAAAGATTTAAGCCCCAGTATTAACAAATAGTTTTTACTATCCTTGTCAGAATTACTGCTTTATAATAGAGTACTGCCAATCTGATGACACTTTCTTATAGAGAAGTAAAAAAGAAAAAAAAATAGAATAAGTATAGAATGAGAAAGAGGTAAGCAAAAAAACAGAAATATAAAGAAAACAACCAAATTATAAAGGAATTAAAAAACTATCCTAAAATCTAAGAGAACTTGTCTACAGATATAAAAACCTGCTAACTAGATAAAAAACTATCTACATAGTTATAAAAATTTATATATAAAGCTATCTGATATAAAAACAAACTAAGATGCACTTTAGGCTATACTAAGGGTTAAAAATTATATGCATATAACTTCAGAATATTGCATATCTTATATAGTATTTTAGTTACAACTCTTATATAACAACTAACTCAGACCCTAGAATATTTGACCTCAAAGTTTTAATATATAATTGTTAGTTTTAATTTTAGCTTTAAAACTTTCTCCTTATATGTATTTATTATTTTTCTTATTCATTATATTGCAACTCGAGACTTATCAAAAATAGAAGTGATAAACAATGCTGATCTTTTGCTAATCTTTTAGAGAGAGATAGCCAAATCCCTTACTTTTTGTGAAAAAAAAGAGTGATGAGGAAATATAGAGGTTTGTAAGATTTAGCTATAGTGAATGCTTTCCAAGTTGTTTTTTGTTCTTTTTTTCTTATTATTTACAGTTTTTCTTTTATTTAATTACTACCAGAATAACCCTTTTGGCTTGGATATCAAATATAAAAGAGAGTTCACTAAAGACAAAAAAAGGTTTGACCCAATCTAAAAACCATTTTTTTAATGCTCGCTTCTTGATATATCATGTTAAAAACTTCATTAACAGTAACTGAGGTAGTTATGTTATTTATAATTTTGTCTCATCAAAAAATATTAATTGATAATCCGCCTATGAACTGGAGAATAGGCGAAATGAGACGTCTGCCATCTAAAACTTTTTTTTTCTTACTAAGTTAATGACACATGGCCATTAATTGAAAATTGTAGAGCTTGTCGAGACGCATCTAACGGTGGTTAGATCATCCAAATCGGCCCAGTGGATGGTGAGATATCATCGAAATACGATTGGCTGACTATATAAAAATCTGACAGAAATTACATATGAAAATCACCATCGGTGAAACGTGGCGTGCTCTCATCTAAATTTTCAATTAATGGGCATATATTGTTAACATAGTACGAAAAAAAGTTTTAAATGACAGACGTCTCATTTTGCCTATTCTCCAGTTCATAGGCAGATTATCAATTAATATATTGTAAGTAAAGATAATATCTGATTTAGATTCTAATTATAAGAACTAAATTTTAATAATAAGATCTGAATCTAATTATAAGATCTGAATCCTAATAATAATAAGATACAGATCTTATTATTAGAATTTAAATCTTATTATTAGAATTCAGATCTTATTATTAGAATCCAGATCTTTATTATTAAGATTCAAATCTTATTATTAGAATCTAGATCTTATTATTAAGATCTGAATCTAAGTATTAACTTTAATTATAAGTTTTAAAATCTTATCTATAGTTATAAAAATGTTATATCTTATTTATCTAATATTTTTTTGATTTCAAAAACAAAATTTAAAGAATCTAACTTTTGGATCCAAATAGGTTAGTATATAAAATGAAAGAACTTATATAACAAATATAATAGTTTTTTTATTTAAGCTATATTAAGGTAACTTCCAATCAGAAAGACTAGCTTTATTAGTATATAAGTTATAAGAATAAACAAAAATTTTAAATATATATATATATATATTTTTATTTCAATGCAGAATAGCAAAATGTAGATAGTATAGATAAAAAAAAAAAGTCAAAAACAGAAAAACAACAGAATATTATATTTATTATTAATTATAAGAAGAGAATACATGAATTAGTATTCACTAAATATTTATATTTAGTTTGTATTAAAGAATTTAAAGAAAAAGAAAAAATAAATTAAATAAAATTATAGTGAAAAATCAATAATAAAATCAATCTAGTGTAATTGAACTCTCCCTAACGATCACTTATACCAAACTTATAGCTAACAAAAACAGAAACTTGTTAGAGAAAAGTAAAAATAACAACTATATAATAACAGTTTTTACAAAGCTCAAAATTATTGTATTGTATTCTGGACTCTTCAGTATATTCAGCATGCAAGTTAAAAGTGTTCTTGTACAAGATAACTGGCAAGAAGGTGGTGCTCTTATACAAAAAATTTTAATAAAAACACTGCTTCTGTTGATGGAGTTAAATAATAGTTGGTCTAAGTGAGAACAACAAGCAAGTTTTCAACATACTCTTTATCAAAGTTTAAGGATATCTGCAAACTAAAATCTTCTACCAAACTTCACTCTTTATACTATTCGAAATTTTTACCAAAAAGTAAGAAAAATGGCATACATTAGTAAATTTAAATGAACAAAATCTTTCAAAAGATTTTGTAATGTACAAAAATTATAAAAAATTTTAAAAAATATTTTGAAATATTTCGAAATATCAAAATCTCAAAAAATTTTGAAAAATATTTTAAAAGTTTTTAAAACTTTTTTCGAAATATTTTAAAAGTTTTCAAACCTTTTTTTGAAATATTTTAGGAAAGCTTATTTCAAAATATTTCGAATGTTATTAAACTTACATATATATAACTTTAAACTTAATGATCTATATTGCAGATAATAATCTATATGCTTGATGTTTATTTTTTAGCTTCTAGTTTTTAATTTTAATTTTTTTTAATTTAGTTTTTTTTTACTTTTTGATTTTCTTTTTTTTTGATCTTTTTCATCTTTGATCTTTTTTTTTTGTTTTGCTTTGATTTTTTTTATTTATTATCTCTTTATTAATCAGGAATAAAATCTTAAACCCAGAACTA